TGTAAAGAGTTCTCAATGGTAACTTATTGGGTGATAAAGACAAAAATAAATTGGAAAAGACTTCTGGCAAAGAGTGTTAGACAGTAGATCTGAAGACTGAGTAGTTTGAACTTCGTAGAGGGGACTACAGGATGTGAATGGAGTGTGAAGTAAATTATTCTTGTTTGGTCCAAAGTGGTGGATAAGGAAGGTAGACAGCTAGTGGTGAGAATGACTAAAAAAGGAAGATTTTGCAAGCCACAGTGACTCAAAGAATGTGGGAGTAGAGAAAAGAGGTATAAAAATAAACTCATTTTAAGCAATGCTTTATGAAGAGTGCCCTATTGTATCCAAAATGGTGAAGTGCCCAAAGGTATCCAATATTATATTTTGATTTCCATGACTAAGAAAAAAAATCAGTTACCTTAAAACATTTTCCCATTAAGGCCAGCAGTTTTAAACCTCCTGCTTCATCAGCCTCACTCTCCTCTACTTGCACTTTGAAATCCAATAATTGGGAATCAGGTCATTATTAAACCAGCCCTATGGGGACACTAAGTTCATCAATCACAGCAAATTTGACCAATAGGCCAAATAGGTCAGTAACCCTAGAACCATCTGACCTCAAAATGGCCTAAAGTGAATGACCATGTAGGGAACAATGTAACTTTGCAGGCAATGTGGCAATGAAAATGTGTGCTTGGATTTCAAAAGAAATGCATCATCTAATTTTTGTGGAGAACCTTTCTTTGGTAAAATTGAAAGTGTTTTCACAAGCATGATCTCATTCTCACAGTAGCCCTGTGAAAGAGGAAATGGAGGGGATATTTTTAATTCCCATTTTATAAAAGAATAAATCGAAAGATAGAGAGATCAAAGGACTCTTTTCCAATTCTTCTTCTTGAGTAGGCCAACAGTGGTGGAGCTGGAGCCAGTTTTCCTAATGACAGCTCTTTCTATGCTCTGAAGCCCAGTCTGTCCCAGAAGGACTTGGCATATCACCAGATGACATATACCAGGTGGCTTATATTTTTATTTCACAACATGTAAATGACATTCATACAGCACAATCTATAAATACCCTACCCAGTCAGTTCTATCTGAATAAGCAAATGTTTGCTTACATCTTCATCTACAACAATTTTGGCATGACACATGTCTAGGCATCTATATATTTTTTAAAGTGAACAGTTGAATACTGTCAAGGTGTTATATAGTTTTAACTGTGACAACTGACCACTCATCTTTTACATTCAGAAATCTGCATAGCTTCACAAAGATATTGTTGTAGGGTCCTTTATCACTTGCTTGATGACAAAAAATTTCTCTAAGTGGAAAATATCCATAAATTATAAAAGGCAGTCTTACTAAGAACCACAAATAGTTCTCATTCTATTTCTAAATAGCAAGAACACATTACAACTTAAAAATAGATAACATTAATCACTATAATTCAAATAACTACTCTTTAGACCTGGCAGAGAACCTAGAGATATCTAAACATTACCCTTAGTTCTTTTTTCCCTATGAATTTTTGGCATAGCAGAAGGAGGGATAAAGCACACTTGAGGTTTGAGAAGTTTGTTAACAGGAATTAAAACAAGGGAGAACCTTAGAGCAGGGGTCCCCAGCCTCCCAGGGCAGCAGACTGGACCGCACCGCAGGAGGTAAGCAGCGGGTGAGCCAGCAAAGCTTCATCTGTGTTTGCCGCTGCTCCCCAGAGCTAGCATCACCGCCTCAGCTTCACCTCAGATCATCAAGCATTAAATTCTCATAGGAGCATCGGTCCCTGGTGCCAAAAAAGTTGGGACCGCTGCTTAAAGGAAAGTGGCATTTGTTACCTTCCTGCCTTTGACTTGACCACTCAGAAACAGATACTCATTCTTGATTACGACTGTGTTGGGAATATCTTGGTGACATTGTCCTAATTTTATAGAAGGATATAACCAAGGACAGATAATAATTACTAAAATGGCAATCATCCTTTGCATAACAATTTATAGCTTACAATCCCTTTCACCTGCATGATTTCATTTGTTATTTCCCATAGAAAAGTAAGTTTCTATTATTATTGTTCCTCATTACTTCTGAAAAATCTGAGTCAGAGAATTTAAGTTAGTTTTGAAAGTCACACAGCTAGTAAGTGATGGAGCTGGAAATCAGACTAAAGTCGTTTGACTCCCTATCCCATGTAATGTCTGCCACACCATGCTGTCTCCCAAATTTCTGGAAAATGTTGGATCAAGAATGGAGGTATGCAGAAAAATAGTTATTGGGGCGGGGTGGGGACGGGGGAAGACTAACTAAAGAGAAAAAATGAGGAAATGAGATGTACTGAAAAGTAAACCCGAATGACCAATAAATGTGTGAAAAAATGCTCACCCTCACTAGCAGTAAGGGAGATGCAAATTAAAACCATGATAACACCCATTAGATTAGTGAAAATTAAAGGTCTGAGAATACCAAATACTGTGTCAGATGGGAAGCAATGAAAATTCTGATATGTTACCAATGGGAATGTATTTCAATTTTCCTATTTTGTCCGCCACTTGCCATTAACAAAGGTGAGGATGCACATGGCATATGCCCAGCATTTCTATGCCAAGGTACATACCTCAGAAAAATTCTCCATATGTACACAAGGGACATGGGAAGAGGTTGATAGCAGAGTTATCGTTAACCAAAAGTTCACAAGAACCTCAAAGTCCATTCACAGAAGAATGGATAAATATTAATAAATAGTGATGTAGTCATATGATAAATACTATATGACAATCAATATTAACGTGAGGTACAGGATCAAAATAAATAAATAGCACAAATACATTTTCAGAGAAATTACAGAAGATTAATATGTATATCATTTACAAAAGGTTTAAAATATGCAAAAACATATTTTAGAGATATTATTATTATTTAGGGATTAAATACTATTTAGAGATATTATTTATGGGTACCTAGATATGTCCTAGAAATATAAGTACATGTGAATAACAAACCTCAAACGCAGGACAATGATGACCTCTGGAAAGGGCAGGAAGGGAATACAAATGAGAGAGGGGTGCTACCCAGGGGTCTTCAACTAATATCAAGAATGTTCTAGTTATTAAGCTAGAACATAGGTAGTACACAGGTATTTTTTTTTCAGCCTTTTAATCTGTAAAATATATGATAACTTTAAAAATAGAAGAGGCAGCAGGAAAAAGAAAAAAGTTTGTCTGAATCAGTTAATTCTCTGAGATGACCAGACCAGATGAAAATGATGTCAAAGATGCCCAGCTGCCCCAGCCGCATGAGGAACCCCAATAGAGGGTGCTCACCCTGATTCAGTCATAAGTCCTGGTGCAACGTCCCAGCCATTATACGAGCACCCTGCCTTATAGATAGACATAATTGAAGAGTGAAGTTCCATATGACCAGTCACATAAGCTATGACATTTTCTAGAATTAGACCAAACCTGGATCTCTAAAAATGTTTGTTTACTTTTCTGTCTCCTTACCTTTAGCACTTTTAAGCAATCCTCTAGCATTTGAGAAGAGTGAGTGTTAACTAAGTCTATATTGTTGAGGTCATTTTACTTAAGGTTTTATTTGTTGAATTATTTATTTTTAAGTGCATTTAGTGGAAAAATCATTTTATAACAGACACCTAAGGAAGGCCTGAAAAGTATTTAACTTTGAAAGTTCAACTCTGTTTTTTGCTTTTGATGTTTGCAATTTTGATGGGCAAGGATGTCTTAGAATGAAATCCCAGTCATTTACACTACACATTTCAGAATGATTCTGATAAAATAATGTCTGTCAAGTTACTCATTTGACAGTCTATGAAAGAAAACATGTCTTTTCATCCCTCACATACTCCTCAGTATAGTCAGCCACAATCTCAATTTGCAAGTTCAATTCTCAAACATTATGGGTTTTGAGGATAAAAATATTAATCCATGAAAGAATAGTTTCTCAAAAATAAAATTGTTGTTTGGACATAATTGATTTTTAAAGCAATTATCTCAAACTAACATATTTTCCTGCATTTATTTTATAATGAATAATTTGCAGTCAGGGCAATTTTAATATAAAATTAACATTTAACCAGTGGACTTCTATAATTCTATGAAAATTCACTGGGGAGAGAGGGCAAATGACTTTTTGAAAAGATCTGCAGAAAGATCAATTTATCTAAGGTCAGAGGATAAGTCTATGGCAGCTTCCTGTTTGAAAGCCAGAGTCCCAAATTTCCCCCATCCTATTTTAGCAACAATAACATTATTAATATTCCATATTTATTAAGCACCCACCGTCTGTTAGGCACTGTACCAAGCACTTTTTCTACATTATGTCATTTTATCTTCACAACAACTTTACAAATGAGAAACTGTGGCTTGAAGCAGTTAAGTCACTTGCCCAATATTACATATCTGCTAAGTAGTAGCACCAGGATATAGACCCAGATCCCTGATCCCAAAACCTGTGCTCTTGACCTTCACTTGTATATACCTGGAACTTTTGCAATTACACCTAGCTATAGACAGAGAAAATAAATGAGCAAATATTTTCCTCTTTCATAAAAAAGAAAAAAGGCAGTTGACTTAGAAGAGTGATATCAAAAAAATGTCTGAGGTTTCAAAGTTTTCATCTAAAACTTATGACCACAACTTCTCAATAGTTCAAAAGTTTTAACTGAAATGCAGTACAGATGAAAATGAAGATGAAAAAGGAGCATAGAATGAGTGCTTCTTCTAGGTACAAATTCTTTTAAACTTGTCTTTCTGAATACGAAGTTGTTTCTCAACGTCAAGAATAACCGTATAGCATTTTTTTCAGCATTTGATCAGTATATTTGTTGGCAGACCTGTTGTAACCTTGAGCTACCTACAATAAATTAAATATTCTAATTGATTTCCTCACTGCTTACTGAGAAACAAAGCACTACTTTCGCTAGTCTCATAAATAATTTAATTTCTCTATGTCAACGTTAATTGACCTTACCTCATGTTGTCAATCTCTTTCTCTTTTCCTTGCAGGTGATGTCATCGTCTACATTAATGAAGTGTGTGTCCTTGGACACACTCATGCAGACGTAGTCAAACTTTTCCAGTCTGTTCCTATTGGCCAGAGTGTCAGCCTAGTGTTGTGTCGTGGCTACCCTTTGCCCTTTGATCCTGAAGATCCTGCTAACAGCATGGTGCCACCCCTTGCAATAATGGAGAGGCCACCTCCAGTGATGGTCAATGGAAGACATAACTATGAAACATATTTGGAATACATTTCTCGGACCTCACAGTCAGTTCCAGATATAACAGATCGGCCGCCTCATTCTTTGCACGCAATGCCAGTTGACAGTCAGCTCGATGGCACATATCCCCCACCCGTCCATGACGACAATGTGTCTATGGCTTCATCTGGAGCCACCCAAGCTGAACTTATGACCTTAACCATTGTGAAAGGTGCCCAGGGCTTTGGCTTCACTATTGCTGACAGCCCTACAGGACAGCGGGTGAAACAAATACTTGACATTCAGGGATGCCCTGGCCTGTGTGAAGGCGACCTCATTGTTGAGATCAACCAGCAGAATGTACAGAACCTGAGCCATACGGAAGTAGTGGATATACTTAAGGACTGTCCTATTGGAAGCGAGACTTCTTTGATTATCCATCGAGGAGGTAAGATAAACACTGGCTCAGCAATTAAATATACAGGTAGTATAGTAGGAACTTTATGATAATATTGCAAAAATGGAAATTTCTCGGGAGTTGAATGAAATCATACTTTACAAGAGTAAGAGAAAAACATGAGTCTGGGAAGCTGTGTTTTTCTTCAGAGAACATATCTTTTCCTATTTTATATTAAATACAACAAAAATAGTTCTTTCAGTCTTACAAATTTATATTGCTATGAACTTGGAGGATAAAGATTGAATTCCCAAGTGTGTGTGGGTTATAGTCCAAAAGTTCATTAATGTTAAGAGTTGGAGAAACCTCAAACTGGTTTCCCATTGAATTAATTTGGAAAATCTGGTTTTTCCAACAGACTCAGTGCTCTGGAATGTGCTTAGGATTCCAGGCTCGCATATGGAAGCTGGTTCAACCCTTTCCAAGCCCAAGTATAGTCTTGATAATCTCCACAAAGATCATTGGGAGCTGTGTCACCATAGAAAAATCTTTTCAGAGTTGTGAACAGGGTTGCTTAGGACACTTCTCCAGTAATAATTACCCATAGTGCCTCCCATGACATGAGAAGAAAGTTATGGAACAGGGTTAAGGCTGAAGTTCTGAGCTGCATTTTCTGAGTGAGGCATGGAAATGGGAGCAGTGAGGAGTATGATGGGAACTCTAAACCCAGGATGGTTTTTTTTTCTACCTTCTCAATGGGGAAGGGATGAGCCTAAGCAGAGGGCCCCTCCATCATGTCTCTGCTACTTTGCTCTTGATTATCAGTGAACAGATATAGAAATTACTTGAAAACAGAGTAAAGCTAAAAAGCTCAGGCTATATCCTGATTTCTCCTTACTAATTTTGTGACTTAAAAAGTCTATGGGCCTCAGATATCTCATCTATTATATTGGGATAATACTACCTAACTTGATGATAGTGTTCTTAGTATTGAATGTCCCACAATTGGTGCTCATTAAATGTCTGTTGAGTATAAATTAGATCTGAAGCTACAGCAGGGATGGGTCAGAAGGAGCAGTGAGGAACTTATGTGTGAAGAACACATGTGTGGCAAACATATGTGATTGCCTACTCAAAGCATTAAAAACAGCATGAAAGCCCTGTCAGTTTGAAATGTAAATGAAATAGTCAAAGCTGAAAGAAGCATTTTTTATGACTTATTTGGCCCTCTCTGCAGTTGCTTCCCCTTTAAGGAGGTATTTACATTGTTGCTTCCTTGTGTGAAAAGGGACACTAAATAGTAGTCATTTGTGAGCAACACCATACGAAGTACTCTGTACTTATAAAGGGAAAATAATATAATAGCAAAACAATCATAAATTTGACCACTTGAATCTTGATAATTAAATATTGACAGTGTATTTTAATTTCTCTCATTGCCTATTTAAGATGAAAACAAATATTCTTAATTAAGTAGCTATATCTTCATAATGTACAATTAAAAATCAAATCTTTATAATAGGTTCTTGATACTAAAAGGTATAACTGAAAATTATTGTGCAGTATCTGCTGTATGGTTCTTAGAAACATAAAAGTTTGGACATTTGTTTTATATATAATGGCTTTATTAAAGTCATGGAAAGCAGGAAAGAGGGGTTTGAAATTATTTATTTACAGGTATTTATTATATATTACATATTACATAATAGTTATGTAATATGTATTTATATTGTTGCAATCAGTACCTTTTCTGAAAACTGTGTGCCTATCAGCTGGACTACCCTATTTTTGCCCTATTCCCCCCACACTCATTTAATCCTCAAATATTCAGTTTTGTTTGTTTTTTGTTTGTGTGTGGGGATTAGTAATTTGTTTTTGTTTTATGGCTAGTGTAGAGTCGCAGAAGGTAGTACACTCCAATACTAATCACTAATATGCTTTCTGAGTAGTTTTGCCTTTGTAGAAATTTTTTATAAGTGGAATCAAAGAATATTTAGTCTTTTACTTAATATAATGCTGTTGAAATTTACCCATGTTGATGTATGTATGACTATTTTGTTTCTTTTTATTGCTGGGCTGTTTTTCACTGTACACTTTTTTTAATCCATTCACCAGTGGATGGACATATGAGTTTTTTCAGTTTTTTGGCATTTATGAGTAATGTTGTTATGAGCATTTGGATAAAAGTGTTTGTGTGCACATATGTTTTCATTTTTCTTGGGTAGATACCTAAGGATGGTATTGCTGGGTTATATGACAAGTATGTATTTAAACTAAGAAATTGCCAGAATGTGTTCCAAAATGGCTATATCACTTCATATTCTCACTAGCAATGTATGAGGTTTCTGGTTTCTGTCCACTGTCGCCCACACTTGTATAATCTGTCTTTTGATTATAGCCATTCCAGTGGGTATATAGTGACACTTGTGGTTTTAATTTATATTTCTGTAATCTTTTCATGTGTTTATTAGCATTCATATATCTTCTTTGGTGAGATGCCTACTCAATATTTTGCCCATTTGTATATTTATTGGGCTATTTGTCTTATTAAATTGTAAAAGTTCTTTATACATTCTGGGTATAAGTTCTGTATAAGATATATGATTTGCAAATATTTTCTCCTAATCTGTGACTTTTCATTTCTTAATAGTGCCTTTTGATGCAAAAACTTTTTAAATTTTAATGAAATCCAATTTATCTTTTTTTATATATTGCTGGGTAGTTTCCTTATATTTTGCTAATTTTTAAGGCTGTTTGGGGGCAGATTTTCTATAGTTTCTGGTTTTATGTCAGGGTAATACTGGCCTCATACAAGGTGTTAGAAAGTATTCCCTCTCCATTTTCTGAAAGAATTTGTATATCATTTATTCCTTAAATTTGATGGAATTCACCAGTTGAAGCCATCTGATCAGGACTTTTATTTATAAAAAGATTGTTAGTCACTGATGAAATTTCTTAAGTTAGGTCTTTCCAATTTTCTATTTCCTCTTGAGTTAGTTTTGGTTAATTTATGTATTTTAAAGAATTTTTATAATTCATCTAAGTTGTGAAATTTGTTAGCATAAAGTTTTTAACAAAATTTTATAAAATTCTATTTTGAGAATCAACTTTTGGATTTATTGATTTTCAGTTTTCTACACTGACCTTTATCATTTCTTCTCTCCCACTTTGTGTTTGATTTACTTTGCTTTTCTGTCTTCTTGAGGTGGAAGTTTATATTATGACTCTATTTCTTACTAACGAAAGCATTTAAAGCTATAAATTTCACTGTAAGTTCTTTTCAGCTGAATTCCATAAATTTATAATGCTGTGTTTTCTTTTGCAAGATATTTTATTTCCTCTGTAATTTCTTTTCTGGTGCATAGGTTACTTAGAAAAATGTTGTTTATTTGTCAAACATTTGGGATTTCCCAATTTTTTTCTCTTGATTTCCTAATAATGTCTCTGTGTAGGAGAACATGTTTTGTATCATTTCAGTCCTTTAAAATGTGTGGTACTTGTATAATGGCCTAGTGCTTTGCTTTTTATAACTTAATTTATCTTAGAGGGATTTATGTATTAATTCGGAATATACTTATATCTCATTATTTTTAATAACTTATTTGATCAGATACCCACTAATGGATATTTTGGTTGCTTTCATTCTTTTTCTATTATAAAGAATGATGTATCTTTGCACATCTATCTCTGCACAAGAGAGGAGGTATATAGCATAAATTCATTCTTTTTTTTTTAACAAATATTTCTTGAGTGCCTACTATGTGCTAGATATATTTGGGCACTGAGCTTCCATTAGAGAATAACGAATAAAAAATAAATGCCAATATAAATGTCTTTTATTTGTTACATATCTCCTTTTCTCCTAGATTTTATTCTTGAATATTAATTTTATAACCAGTTACTTTACTGAGTTGTCTTATTGTTTCTCAGATTTTTTTAGATCATTTCATAGAATTTAGGGGCATAAAATCATACCACCTACAAATAATCACTTTGCCTTCTCCCTTCCTATTTGCATACTTCTGATTTGTCTTATCTAATACATTTGACTGTTATTTATTAAACATAGTTGATTAATAGTGGAGATTATGGAAATTTCTTATTCCTGACTTAAATGGAAACCATCTCATTTTACACACTTAAACACAATACTGGCTTTTTACTTGACATGAATATTTACCATGTTAAGGAAATTTCCCTCAATTCTCATTTCATTAAAAATCTTTGTCAAAAATGGATAATGAATTTTATCAAAAGTAAAAAAAAAAAGGTATCTATGGAGATGACCATTATTTTCTCCTTTGACTGATCACTTTGATGAATTGCATTGAGAAGTTTATTAGCATTGAATTATCCTTTCATTCTTGGAATAAGCTATATTATGCTTATAATGTGCTCCTATATTCTATTTTTATATATAATTTTTCTCTAACATTAATAAATGAGTTTGGTTTGACGTTTTCTTTTTCAGATTTTGTTTTGTTTTTTACTATCAGATTTTACATTAAAGTTATAGCAGGTGTCATAAAAGCAATCAATAGCTTTTCTTCTCTCTCTGCTCTAAAATAAATTAAGTAACATTGAGGTTATCTATTCTTTGAAAGTATAATATAATCCTTTGAAATTATCTAGTTCTAGTGGCTTGGATTGGGTTTTTGGTTTGGTTTTGTGGGGGAGAGATACCCTTTTACAACCTTCTCAATTTCTTCCATAGTAATTAATCTAAGAGTTTCTGTCTTGCCTGAGCTCAGTTTTTGTAATTTGTACTATCCTACAAAATTTTCTCTTTTTTTCATGTTCTCAAATGTATTTAAATAGAATTAAATCAAGTATTCTCTAGTTTTTCTTTTATTTTCCACTTTACCTAAGAATGTTTCTATTATTCTCACTAGTTATTGGTGCTGCTTTTTTATTTTGTTGGCTAATAGTTTTTCTATTTTAATGGCTTGGGAAACATTATACTTTCTATTTTAATGGCTTGGGAAAAATTATACTTTCTGCCCAAGAAGGCTGCTTTTGATGCCTGGAATAAAGCAACTTCTATGTGATTA